GCAGGGGCACGAAGCCTTGCGAGTCCATCCGCGCGCGGAGGTACACGTCCTTGCAGAGGTTCTCGATGGAGAAGTAGTACTCGACCTGGCTCTTGAGAACCGGCACCAGCATGTTGTCCCAGTAGGGCTGAGGCTGGAAGGGCATCGCCGTCATCGGCGTCATCGGGTACTCGAACGGGGCAAACTGAGTCTGAACCTGGGGAATGCGTGCCGATCCGTTGGGGAGCGACATCCGATGGTAGTTGCCGGCATTGTTTCGACCGCCTCTGCCGCGGCCTTGGGAGGGCATGTACATCTGGCCATGGGCGCCTTGCCTGGGAGGTGGGCTGTAGGGGCCCTGGGCGCGTCCGCCCATAGCACCCGAAGCAGAGAAACTGGATGCGGTGTGCTGGTGCTGGTGCTGAGCGTTGACGGGATGGTGGCCGCCACGTCCGCGGTATCCTCCGCGCGGCCTATCGCCGCGGCTCTCTGTTCGCTCACGAGTGGCATGGCCCTGCTCCTAAACGAAAGGGAAAAAAGAATGTTAGCACATCTTTCCAAGGAAACGGCGGTGACGTTGGTACGAGAATTTCCCCTTCCCTGCCGCCGATCATCGAGAAAGCTACTTACGTTGGAGTTTGTGGTGGCGTCCTTGTTCTTCTCGGAGCCGGTGTGGCTCTGAGGCTTCCTCTGTTCACGTGCGCCAGACATGTCTGTCGAAGAACGCTTGCTCGTGGCTTGAGGGGCCTGCGCATTTCGGTTCGGGCCGTTGGCGCCGTCACGAGGACGATCCTTGCCGCTGGTACTGCTGCTGCTGCTGGTCTCGCTTGGCTTGCCTTGGCTGGCAACGGGGGCGGCGGCCTTATCACCGGCATTGGACGCTCCCGTGGCCCTGGAGCCGTTGGCGTTCCTGGCTCCACCACGAGGCTTGGAGTTGCGCATCTGGGGGAGCTGGGTCTCAAAGTTGACGCTCGGCACGTAGTCCATGGTTACCCACTTTCCCTTCTGTCTCGGCTTGGACGAGGACCCGTCCTCTGAGGCCTCCTTCTCGGGACGATCAGACTTCTCGGCGGGCTTCTTCTTGTCTTCTTGGATGGCCGTCTCGGGAGTGGGCCAGGCCGTGGTGTCGGCGACTGAAGGGGGCACATCGCCCCGGCTGGCATCTTTATCCGCTACCCTTGAGCTACGGCTGGCGTTTCGCTCGGACCGAGGGGCCTCGACCGATTTCCGAGGAGGCTTGACGCCATTCGGTATGCTTTCCCGCTGGGCAGCAGGCGCTGGCGTGCCATTCTCGGCCACTTTAGGGGACGCTTCGGGCTTGGGGGAGCCATTGGTGGTCTGCTCTGCAGAGGGGGCTGGGGACGGCTTGGCCTTTGCCAAATGGGCTTCGGCGCGCTGCCGCCAGATGTTGACGGAAGGAATGGGCGCCTCAAACAGTTCGACCTTGGGGGCCTCCTTCTCAGGCTCCTGCTCCTTGTCTGCCGCTGACTGGTCGTTGGCTTGCTTCTCGGCAGCCTTGGACTTCTTAGACTTCCGCGGCCGCCTGGCATCTTGTTCGTCGACCGATCGCGTGGTGGTGCTCGAGGACCTCGTGCCTTTGTCGTTTCGTCGCCAGGGGCGATCTAGCCGACCGGACTCGTCGTCCCGTGCGGGCTCGCGGCGCTGCTCCTGGGCATCCTCTGATCGGGGCTCGGCCTCGGGAGCAGTGGCGCTGGCAACTTCCTGCTTCTCCGTGGTGGCAGGAGAATCGGCGCTTCGGACTGCCTCGGTGGGCTCGGCGGCGCTCTCGACGTCTGTGGCAGCCTTGGGCGCGGCTGCTGATGGCTGGGCTTCCTGGGCGGGCTGTCCAGGGGGAGCATTTGACGGGGCAGTGCCCTGACCCTTGGCGGCCTGCGCATAAGAGAAAGCTGAAGCGGTTGCCATCTTGAATGGAAACCGAGATGGAGAGGAGGAGTGGTGAAGGTGAAAGAATTGAAGCAAAGACACGATGCG